TAGAAATCCCATGTCCCAGTTGTAAATTCTATAGATTGGATCTTACTGCTTCAAGGTAGTAGAACAAAAGTGCTGATTTAGATGTGGACCATTTAACAATTGTATGCATTTGACTTTTTGGCTTGTGATTGTTTGCACACTCATTGTGACATCATGATTTAAATTTGGTCCTTCGCCACCTTCTCAAAGATACATATGTCTGAGTATGAAAATATTTTCATGTATATCTGAGATCTGATAGTTTTCTGATACAAAGCATTTCTCATTTCATCAGTGTTCTATGGATTGACTGCCAAAAAAAAAAAAAAAACAAATCCTTCCATGCTGGGATGAAGATGGTATGACATGGAAGCAGTGGTTTTATTTTGCACTCAATCCATGGATTTCACTTTATGAATTTCCATTAAAGAAACTTCAGGGTGCACAAATTGAAGGCGGTGAAGACATACCCAGTTAACAGGAGAAAAATCATCAGAAGCTACATGTGCTTGGATCATGGGCTAAAGGCTTGGCTAGCATAAAACACAACAAATCCATTGAACTGTTCTAGTGGGTGTTTACTTATTTGATGGACCATGACATTTTTCCTTTTTATCTGGTCCCAAATATGCATGCACCTCTTTCCATCGCAGTGTTCAAAATTCCAGTTTGCCAAAAACAGGGGCTTGAATCTCTATGGTCTATCCTTCTTATGGGTGGGAATCGAAATAAATCCCTAGTAGTGCCATCCCCTTTTGGGTGTGTTTACACTATAAATTGTAGAATTTTAAGTTAATGCCACGTGTAAAATTTTTATTGGCTGGAGGAGTTTAAGCCATGTCAGATTCGGATTTTGGGCCCCATGACAAATCAGCACATGAGTTGGCAAGATAGGAGAGGTAAAGATAATGTTTTATGGAGTAATTATCTTTTTGAAACAGAAAGAGATAATGGCAGCTGGAAAATAGGGGAGGATCACATTTAAAAAGAGGATTTTATCTGATAAAGTTCAGGTGGCAAAGTCTGAAAGGGGTTTAGACTAGGTCAAGAGATGAGGTGTCCCACTACTCCAACAAACTACCTATGGTTGAGTAACTGCCGGCACAAGAGGAACAAAAAGGGAACTTCAGCACAGAAGGAACACACGGCCAGCCCTACTCAAACATCAGCAACTTTTCATACTTTGATTTTCTCTGCACATGCTTCCAGATTTCGGTTTTTCAGCACAGATTTCGTATTTCAGCACAGATTCCATTAGAATTAGGTTGTTTTTCCTCATTCTAGTAGACAAATTTATTCCTATATTCAGTTAAAACAATTTTCCTTCATGCAATGAACTTCAATCCTTCAAGTTTATGCAAGGTATTGTTTTCTTTTCATTTGAAATTAATTTAATGTTTATGTTAAGTAGCATTACTTCAATGATTACTTATGTGGCCTTCATGCTTCTTTCCAATTTCAAGTTGCTTCAATTTATTCACTGTTCACGCTATTTATTCACTGTTCATATTTAATTTCAGTGCAAATTAGGTTTAAGTTTCCAGATCTGCAGCAGTTTAATTTCTGAATCTGTCAATAGATTGCACTTTTAATTTTACTATAAGCATGTTTAATTTAATTTGGGAACATTTCTTTCTCGCAAGTTTATTTTAAATTGCAAGTAATTTAGAGCAATTAGGATCTGTTAATTTTAAGTCACGGTAGTGTTTTAAGTCCTTGGAGTTGTCCAAGGCAGATTTCGTAACCCATTCTGCAGGAAGGTATCCCTCCCTCTTGCAAATCGTCTGAAGGCGCAAATTTCATTTTAATCCAATGTTCTTCCCGCCATCTACGAAGAGGTCGACCGTGAGGAAGGAGAGGGTCGTTGGGAAAGTCCTCCTTTCTTACTTTCAGCAAAGTAAGTAGCACGCCTGCATCAGATTTCACACGTGCGAGGCCACTAGAGGATTTTTGAGGAAACAGGGTGCATGAGGAAAGTCAACATATTTTGGCTATTGCAAAAATTTAATTAGTGAATTATCGACTACGAGGATCAGTCCTTTGCAAGTCACGAGATAGAAGGGATAAAATGCATGCATACAAGTTAAACCCCAAAACCCAGTTTACAAAAGCCTGTAACTTGAGTATAAGTTTTACATGAGTAGAACTCTTGCAAAAATTTTAAACTATAAATTCATACAAAATAATAAAAAAAAAATTGATAAAAGTTATTAAATTCAAAAAGTTTACACACTATAAAACTAGAAGTAAGAGGTTTATAGTTTCGATCTCTAACTTTTCAAAAGCCGTAAACAATTTTTTTAAAAAATCCAACACTTCTCAAAACTGCATTTGATTCAATTTTTAAACTCAAATTATGGATATGTTTATAAACTGGACCAATAAACATGCAAGCAATGATACAACTCTTCCAATGATCAGTTTCCTTGAAGGTAGGAGGTAGCATACGGAAACATCCTGGAAGGAGACTAATTGGAAAGAGAATGTACTACAATGCTGGTGAGATTTCAAGTTAATATCACGGAAACATCCTGGAAGGTAGGAGGAAAATGAGGTGTCCTTGAAATTTTAAGTGTATGAAATTTTGATTTTTTTCATTTTTTTAAAAGATTT